TGCTTTTAGGGATTTTAGAAAACCATTTCTGTGTGTGGTGGGAGTTATTCATGACATTTTTTAAAAAATAGGAGTTCTTGGCTTCGACTCAGAAAACGTACGGTGCGGAGCTGGCCAGCGTGGACTTTCAGCACGCCTCTGAAGACGCCAGGAAAGCCATTAACCAGTGGGTCAAAGGGCAGACGGAAGGTAAGAGCCTGGCGGCGGCGTGGAAGCCTCTGCGGGCTCCCTCCTCTCCTTGTCGCCGTCCCGCCCACCTGCGGCTGCCTCTCCTTGTCATTGTCCCCACCTGCCGCTGCCTCTCCACGCCCGGCGACCTGGCCGGTGCTCGGGGCGAGCTCTGCCGCGCGGTGCCAGAAACCTGTGGGAGTGGCGGCTTGCACACGATTTAACTGAAGCAACTGAATACTGTTTCCTCCAGAAGCTCCCCAAAGCTACATTTTAAAGTTAAAACCAACATTGAATGTCAACTATAAGGAGTAAAAATTTTGAGAATTATTCAATACACATGTGGAAAGAAATGTCCAGGAATTTCATGGAATATGTAAAATCAGAATTCGTGAACTGCCGTAGTCGTAAATACTGTTTGCCACATCTCGCCCAGTGGGTGAGGCGCGGTGCGTGGGGCTGACCCGCTCTTGGGGCTCCCTCCCTCCCTCTCCCTCACCCAGGGAGGCCGCACCCCCAGGAGCCCGTCTGCCTTTGCGGGATTGTTCCTGGCTGTGCTGGGGGCCTATTTGTTAAAATCTCTTTTTGTGAGAGCGTGCATATCCCCAGCAGATTTGAAGAAGTGATTTACTAGCGACTAAAAACATTTTGCTTAAGAACCTTTTTCTTAAAAAGAAAGGCTGTTTACAAAATAAAGCTCGCTGTTTATCATACAGTCCAGAAAAGGCGAATTTTCCTGTCTTTAGCCTTTTAGCACATTCGGTTTGTTTAAAGTGTTGGCTCCTGTGGGGCAGTTGTGTGTCGTCAGGGTCTGTCTCCCAGGTTGGTTTGTCTAGAGACACGCCAGCAGGGCTTTCCTAACTTAATATTGTGTTAAATGAAAATGAGGTAGAAAGTTTACGTTTGAATTGCATTTCAGTGCTAATAAATTGTCAGTTCAAATTTGGAATTCCAATATGGATTTTTTTTAAAAGTTTACTTTATTTTTTAGGGAAAATTCCGGAACTGTTGGCTGCAGGTGTGGTGGATAACATGACTAAACTTGTGCTGGTGAATGCCGTCTATTTCAAGGGAAACTGGCAGGAGAAATTCACGAAAGAGGCCACGGAAGATACACCGTTCAGACTGAATAAGGTGAGGTGAGGTCCAAAATCACTCTCTGCGCCAGAAGAATGGAAAGAATAATTTCAGTGATTTTTTTTTTTTAAACCGTTCAGAAAGACACAAAAACAGTGAAAATGATGTATCAGAAGAAAAAATTTCCATACGGCTACATCGAGGACCTTCGGTGCCGAGTGCTGGAGCTGCCCTACCAGGGCAAGGAGCTCAGCATGCTCGTCCTGCTGCCCGACGACATCGAGGACGAGTCCACGGGTCTGAAGAAGGTAACGGCTCCTTTGGTAGACTGATTCTTCCCGTGTGCGTGCCGCACGGTACGTGCTTGTTACGTGCTCGCTGGTGTGACTTGACGTTCCTTTCCAGTCCTCCACCATCCCTCTGTAAATGTAGCCCGTCAGCGCTGACTGCTCTGAAGCCCAAAGGCTAAAGTTCTAAGAAAGATGCCCAGCTACTCTCAGTGGACGGTTGCCATGGGGACGCCTACAGACTTACCTAAATGGAACGTCCGTTAGCGGCTCACGGGAAGGCTCTTGCGTTAACATTAGAGGAAAGTACAGTCAGATGAGGATTGTTTTACTGAGGAAAAACACCTAAAACCCCAAAACATTGTAGTATACAGCGTCATCATGTACTATGAAATCCTGTCGTCACACTGTTCCCTCTCGCCATGATTCACATAGACGGCGGATTAAATTTCTAGTAGGTACGTGATAGGAAAAGACTCATGCGACCTGTTAGGCCTGTTTCCTAATATGAACTCTGTGTGAGGTTTCCATTATGTATAATTTAAAGGCTGTTGCTTCTCTTGCCAGGCTTAGAACCAGGCAAAACTGTGAAGATTATAGTTTCCCTTCGTTGACCTTAGTCTGCTCTGTGGTTTTTCTCTGCCTCCTCCTCAACTAAACTTGCTGTCGGGAAGGGGAGCTAATAGTAGTTATTTGCATGTAGAGCATATGTATTAAAATCAGTGTGGTCTTTCTTCCAGTTGTATTTTTGCATTAGTCTTTTCTCTGATTATAAAGTGAAAATCTCTAGCCTCATGCAAGAAATTGTCAGCATCAGTAGAACAACTGGAATGATGGTTCTGTTCCCGTGCAATAGTAATAATAATAGTAATTAATAGTAATGATAACATTAATAGCTAACATTTATACAGCACTTACTATGTGCCTAGCACCTTATGTACATCAACTCATTTAATGCTCACAACAATGCCATAAGGTAAGTAAAATTATTATCTGCATTTTAAATGAGAAATTAGGTCCAGTGCATCATTTACTTTTTAAACTTTTACCTAGGAGCTAAAGTTATTAGTGATTACCTCAACTCCAGTGAGATTCACACATTACCACAACTTTGGTGGGATTCAGGATAAATAGGAGAAACCTTTTAAATTTCCCCTAGTACCACCACTCAACCAATTAGGGTAATAATAGCTGTCATAGCCTATCACAGTAATCTGTTGTGGTTCGAGCTTAGCAAGTCCTGGATGGATGGATGGTAGATGGGTGGGTGGGTGGATGGTTAGATGTTGGATGGATGGATGGATGGTAGATGGATGGGAAGGTGGGTGGATGAGTAGATGGCTGGGTAGGTGGATGGTTAGATGTTGGATGGATGG